GAGGAATCGGGCAACTTCACAGGGCGGCGCGATGCTGGGGCGGGAGGCGGGATGCTGGGGCGGGAGACAGCAACGCACGCAGCGCCCCGTCTCACCCCACGGGACGTGAGTGTCCCGGTCTTCTCAGAGCGCCCCGAACCCCGGCCATGGCATCTGCGCACCAAGGCGGGAATCGCACCCCCGGCCCGGCCCCCGGACGGCCCCGGTGGAGGGACCCGGGTGGGGGAAAAGCCTCACCCGCTGGGCCTTCTCCCACAGCTGGTTCAGCTTCTCCATGCGGAACTCCCCGCCGGGCTCGCGCTTCGGGGGCCACTCGGGCTCGTTCCTCTCCCGCGAGTACTTGCCGCCGTGGCCCGCAGCCGGCCAGGGCACGAGCAGCAGGAGCAGCAGCGGCAGCGGCACGAGGAGCCCGCGCAGCCCGGACCCGAACCGCCGCGGCGCCATCTTCCTCCTCCTGCAGCCGAGACCCCGCCGTCGGCCCCAAGCGGTTCCGCCAGGCCCCGCCCCCGAGGCCCCGCCCCGCCGCGCGGCCTCCTGGGAGCTGTAGTCCTCCCGCGAGCAACCGGCCCAGGCGAGGCCGCCCGCGGACTACAAGGCCCGGGACACCCTGCGGAGGCATGTGGACGTTTCTCAGGCAACCACGCCGCGGTCTCGTGACGTCGGGCGCCCCAGCGGAGGCCGACTGCTCTAGGGCTGACCTGAGGCTGCGGGGTTGCCAGGGCCTTGGTGGCGAGGGGACTCCGACCCCCAGACCCCAGAAGCCAAGTTACCAGAGGTCCCTCTCCCTTCTACCCTGTAAATCGGGACGTGTCTGGCTGTTTCTGAGATGGTTCCTGTGTCATCTGCATTGACGTTGAATCTCCGTTGTCATTATGGGCTTGGTTGGGGAAGGTGGCCCCTGCTTGGCAGTCAGGTGCAAATGTCACTGCTGTCAGGAACCTTAAAAATCACCCAGCCCACTCCTTCATTTGACAGAGGAAGGAAAGCTGAGGCCCAGGAAGGTCCGTCCCCGCTGACCCCGGGGTACCCGCATGCCAACACTCTGAACTGTGTCCGACCCTTGCCCTCTGTGCGATTTCTCTGGATGAGAGACATTCGTGCACCTGTCTTATTAAACCAGCAAAATTCAACATAGTCGACAGGTTGGGGGCTGCCCCAGTGAGTTGGGCAGTGCCTTGGAGGTACATTGCTGCCTTCAAGTGGCTTGAGGTACGGGGTCGAGTAGAGGCACCAACTAGGTGCTTTGGGGCTTCGAGAAGGAACAGGATGAGCACATCTGCTAAGAAAGGCTTCAAAGGCCTCCAAGGGTAGTAGATTGTGCCTGGGCGGGGACATGACAAGTGAGGGGACACCGAGGACAAAGGAAGGGGGTGGAGAAAACCTGGGCATCTCAGGAGGAATGAATACTTAGCTACTTTTTAAATGATCCCGTGTTGTTCCAGAAAAGGTGCAGGGTGCCTGGAATCAGGAAGCACTCTGCTGCCCTTCCTGCCTGACGTCCAGGATCTTGAGAGCCCCCGTTCCATGTATTTTGTGCAGTTGTTCAGTGGTTTCAGGCAAAAGGCTGAATTCAGTCCCTGTTACTTCATTCTAGCCAGAGTACAAGCTCCCAGCCACTCGGCTATTAGTAGTGAGTGCACTTATCCTGGTTATTAGACTAATTACTGTAACAAACTCTAAAAGGGATAAAGGCCCCAAGAGAACAGATGCTTATTCCTACCCCCGTTCACGTCCGGAAGGCCCACGCTCCTGTGACGTCCAACAGGACTTCCGAGATCGCTTCCCACTGGGGAAGGGGACAGAGCACTGAGGGGAAGTGGTTGAAAAGCCAGGCCTGGTAGGTACTTCTGCCCACGTTCTACGGCCCGGAAGCAGTCAAGCGGCCACCCTAGCTGCAAGGGAAACTGGGAAATGTCCGGCCGTATACCCAGGTGAAAGAGAGAATGAGTGTTGTGGACAACTGGCCAGTGTTTTTCTTAGACTGTCTGAAGAGCTACCCAGGGTGACCATGGTGCTACTTCCCGCTCAGGCTTCGGTGGAGGTCGTACACTGCGAACTTCAAAGGCGGTGACCTTCCAGGTCCTGGAATCACAAAGCCGAAAGTTCACAGACCAAGAAGGTGCCTTAGCTGTGAGAGTCAGTATCGATCATCTAGTCTAGTCGTACATCTTCATGTCACAGATTGACAAATGGAGGCCACGAGGTGGCGTTCGACGTGCTCGAGTCACATGTTACTGAGCGCCTCTCGTCTGCGTAACTCCAGTCTCTCCCTGTTGACCTCTTTGCTTCGAAACTGGCTTCCTGAGGAGTCCATTCTCAATGCAGAAAACAGAATTAGCTTTAAAACATAAGTCAGATCAAGACAATTGCAGGCCAATATTCCTCGTGAATACAGACACAAACTTTCCGAACAAAATACTAGCAAATCAAATCCAGCAATATGTAAACAAAGAAGTAAGTTTAGCTTTATATGTGAAAATGAACCAATGCAATTCTCTTCATTAATTAATAGCATAAAGGAGAAAAACAACGCATGATATTCTCAACAGGTGTAGTAACAGCACGTGACCAGTTCATCCAACGCCCATTTGTGATCATATCTCTCAGGAAATGAGCAGTAGAAGGAGACTTTCTCAATCTGACAAGAGGTGTCTAAACAAAAATGTACAGCTCACGTCGTATTAATGGTGAAACGCTGAGTGTTTTCACCCTAAAATTAAAGAGAATGCAAAGGTGTTCACTGTCATCACTAACATTTAACACACAACTACATGCCCACTAGAACCAAATTGATCCACTCTGTCACGTGTTGGAAGAAATATGAAGCCACCGAACCCCTCATGCATTGCCCGCAGCTCTGTCTCTTACTGTGCAGCATAGGGCAGGGCTCGGAGTTGGTGCTCAGTGGAGGTTTGCGGGATGGACGATGGGTGAAAGGAAGGGTGGGTGGATGGAAAGTGGATGGAAGGAGGGATGATGGATGGATGGATGATGGGTAGAGGAGGGATGATGGATGGATGATGGGTGGAAGGAGGGAAGATGGGTAGATGGGTGGAAGAAGGAATGTGGATGGATGGATGATGGGTGGAAAGAGGGATGATGGGTGGAAGGAGGGATGATGGGTGGAAGGAGGGATGATGGATGGATGGAATGATGCATGATTCCTCCCTTATTCCCAGCCTGGTCTTAGAATATGCCGCCTTTTCTCATAATCAAGGTGCCACAAGCCTTTGGTGACATTGGGGCAAAGGAATAGGCAGTGAATATCTTATACCCACCTCAGATCCAGAACAGGCCCAGGAGAGACTCAGGTGGGATCTGCCGGCTGATGACAGGGACCGGGGTTGGGGGAGAGTAGGCAGCTCTAAGCCACTTTTCCGGGCTCCAGGCAGTACCCCCTGCCAATGTTTCTGCAGATTCAGGTGTTGTGGTTGCAAGGGGCTGGGGGCTGCCATAGAGCCTCTCCCCACCTCTCCGGTGCATAGCTGTGTTGGGAATGTGGGGACCCTCCCCCTGCCCCCCAACAGGGTGCCCTTGGCTTTCCCTGGGGCGTCCTGCACTGGCCGACCTGGGAAGCACATCACTCAGGTACCCAGATCTTCACTCAGCCCCTCATTTTGAAACAGAGGGACCTGCATGTAGCTACTTTCTGTGGGACTCTGACTTTGTGACTGAGGAGCTGTCCAAGAGGCTCTGGGCCCAGCTCCTCCCGAGACCGTGAGGCCTCTGGCGCCTGAGCACTTGAAGCAGCAGCTCGGTTCCCGAGGCCCCACCCCAACAAGCTGTTGAACTTGGGGAAAGGAGCTTTTTCTCACTGGCGATGTGAGTGGCATCCTCTTCTGACGACAAGAGTGGCATGTGCCTGGCTCCAGGAAGGTCACGCCACTTCCCAGACAGCCATGTCTGCTGAATGGGGCCAGGACAGCTGGGCCTCCTGCTCACGCTTGGGGGGCGGAGTGAGAACCCCTAAGTATAACGAGGGTGGGGGGCTGGAATTCTGTCAGGAAGTGTCCTGTGAGGGAGGGACCACGCCCCCACCTACAGTGGCAGAGATTAAGGCTTAGAGAGGTGAGGTCATTTGCCCAGGCTCAGACAGCCAGAAAGTGACAGTCAGGACCTGAAGCCACTGGGCAGACCCTGCCCAGGACGCGAGGCTGCCCAACAGCGAGGCTGTCCTTCATCTCGTCCTGTGCCCCCGCCCCCCGCCAGGGCTGGTTTCCACGGTTTTTGCCTTAAAGCCAGAGGTCCATGCGTTCACTAAACAAATACCACTGAGCGCTCATTGTGTGTCCAGTGCTATTTTAGGGTCTGGGGACAGCCTGGTGAACGACCAGTGTTGGCCCTTGCAAAGTGCATGGGAAAATGCACGCTTTCTGCCAACGGGCCACCGGTTAGCGAGGTCTCAGGACCGAGGGCCTGTTAATGCGGTTGAGCACGTTGTCACCCACATTGGCCACTTGCGACTCCTCCTCTGTGGAGTGTCCGGTCAAGTTCTTCTACCCGTTCTTTTCTGTTAATGTTTTTTTTTTTGCCTTTTCTCATTGATTTATCAAAGCTCTTTCTATATCCTAGACACCAGTGCTTCGTCAGGTTTTTAAAATTAAATCTATTGGGGTGACATAATAAGATTATGCGAGTTGCAGGTGTACAGCGCTATAATGCATCATCTGTGCTCGTCGCCCGAAGTTTCACCTTCTTCTGTCCCCATCCATTCGACCCCTTCACCCTCTTCAACCTCCGACTTCATCAGCTTCATGAGTTGCAGATGTCTTCTGTCCTGTGTCTGGGTTTCGCCCTTGGATGGTGCCTTTCGAGATACGGACACTTTAATATACTTGCAGCTGTCAATAGGTTCCTTGCATTGGGTCTTTCTTAAGAAATCCTTTCCTGCTGCAAGATCACGAGTCTCTCATCTCACAAATGCTGTGTGGCTGTGCCTTTCACGCGTGAGGCTACGGACCAGCTGGAATTGGTTTCTGAGGATGGTTCCAGGTAGGCGCGCGATTTCACGTCTCCGCTTCACAGAAGGGGCCTGGCGTCCCAGCGCCATGTATTGGAAAGTCCATTCTCTCCCCGCGGCTGCGCCACGCCACGCCACCTGTGTCGTAAACCACGGGTCCTTCTCGACGAGGGTCTGTTTCTGGGATCTTCCTTCTGTTCCGCTCGTTAATGGGTGCTCCCTGCACCAGCCCCACGCCGTCTTCATCACGAAGGTTCATCACGAAGGCTCGTCATGCGCGGCGCCGTCCGGCGGAGCGTGCCCCCTCATCCTGTCCGTTCCAGCCGTTCTCGGTCTCACAGGTGGCTGCTGCGTGGCTGACGACATGTTTTCCCTGCTGTTCTCTTCAGCCCACAGTCCCCCCCAGGACGCACACGTGCGGTCACTTCTCAAGCTCCCGGCAGAGTCGGCTGCACTGTTCCCCTTTCGACCAGACCCTCGGGTTGCAGAGCAGAATGAATGCGTCTGCACTGGCGGCGCTGGGAGCCTGGG